TGTCTGACGCGTCTGCCTCCGCGACCCGAAAGGAGAAGCGGCGATGGAAGATGAAGATGAAGATGAAAATCGTATTTTAATGTTTAACGTTTATATCAAAGATTTCGAGACGATATTTCCTACAGCCTATCAGTATCAACGTTTATCTTCTATCCCCGTATTGTGCTTATGGTTTTTCTTACTTTTGCTACAAGACTAACAAGGTAGGTTAGGTTACCATATACAAAAAGTATAACATAACGTACGATGTGTTTAAAGTATTGAGTTAAAGTACTGAGCAAACAGCTTACATTTCACGCACAACAATGCCTCGTGCCGCTTGAAGCCACCCTTATTGCCAGCCATGCAGACGTACTTGCCAGCCAGGTCAACGTTAACGTTTGGCAGGTGCAGGGTGTTGTTCAGGAACTTGCGGTAACGAAACTTCCTTAAACGAAAGCCATCGTCAGTTATAGAACTTTAAGGATGCAAAAGCACGACCATTCCGATTCAGGCGACCCGTCGAAGTACCAATGAACAGTGGGATGTGGGGTGCCGCGAACGACGCAATGCATCCAAGCCGGCTCGTCTTCCTCGACGGTCATATTCTTCGAAACGCGGTCGAACACCGGGGCCACTAAAAAACAAAAGCAATAAACGACTGTGTTCCCTGATCGAACAGGAATATCAGCAGCTTACCAAAAACTTCGACTTTGATCGTCTCGTTGATGACGCCCTGCGAACTGACTGCCACGCACATGTACAGACCGGCGTATTCGAACTTCGCTTTGTGGAAGTACAGGATGCCGTCTTTATCGCGAATGTTTTGGCCGAAGTCGGTTACAGGCTGCTTGTACTTGTGCACAACGCCGTCGATAGAAATGTCTATAAAGTGGACGGCAGTCAACACGACCAATGGATCTCACTTTCTCAAACTTCTGACTCACTTCCGGTTCGCAGCCATTTGACCGTCGCCGGTATGTGACCACTGGCTTTACACGGAATCTGGGCATCACTATTCAGTTCCAGTTTCTTGTGAACCGGCTTTGGTGTGAACTTCAGACGCTCGCGAACATTCAGGCGGGCAGGCTGCGAGTACAGTGGACGCTGGTCAGCCGTTTTGACGACGCACGTGTACTCGCCCTCGTCTGACAGCGACGTAGAGGTAATTTTAAGTGTACCATTATGATGAAAGACTTGATAACGAGCGTCCCGGGTGTGCAACTGAAACAAAAATTTTGTTTAAATTAAACAAAAAAAAGATCATATGCTTCTTAGAACATACCGTGAACGGCTCGCCATTCTTCTCCCACTCGACGAACGTCACGGGATATTCATTACCTTTAAACGTGCAGTCAAACCTGGCGTCAGAACCTTCTTCGACTTCCAACGACGACGGGTGCCGCTCCATTTGAGGAGCCCCTGATGTTAAAGGAAACAATTAATTACGTTTTGCGTAGAATAATTCGATATCGTATTTGAAATCAAACTTAATCATATCAAGAAAAAAGTTGTGTATTCCAACCTTGGAATTCAAAACAAAGACATGCGCATGAACTACGCCAAGTGAGAAGCATCGTCGATATCTAATTCGCTCTTTCAACAAAGTAATCAATGCAAGCGGAAGTTGAGACAGTTCAAAAATTAGATGTAATGTAAGTCAACTATTTCATCATCATCATCTTCTTCTTCTTCCATTGCCGCTTCTCCTTG